TGATGGCTATACCCGAGCTTTATTCATTGCAATAAATGTAGACTTCTGTGACATGTTTAATGTGACCTCTCATATTGTTATAACAATGAAATGATTATTAACTGCCATGTCCGCTAATTGCTTGTTTTGACCGACCAGTCGTCCAAACGCAAAGTGATAACTGAACAATGATATAAAACAGAGATGTGCAGGAAAAAAAAGCCCCCCATTGGACAGGTTGTGATCAGTAATTGTGATTATTTCTTAATTCATTACTCAAACGATGAGCACATCTGTCAGAGTTCTGTCAATTAATTCACCGTTAACAGACTTGGGGGGGGGGGGAGAAATCGACTTACTGCTTCATCTCTGGAGTAAATCCTGACTACAGACTCAGCAGCAGGATCAAACCATCTCTATGTCTGATTCCACCCCCCATGAAGATCACACCACAGGAGTCAGAGAGCAGACGGCACCCTGAAACAACAGCACCCACAGCACTTCTGCTCGTCTGTGTGGTGGAGCTGCAGCAACGTCAGACTACATTTGTACAAATACACGTTGCATTCCTCAGATTCACAAAAGACCGGCAGGCAGCGTGAAGATCAAAGCGTGGAAACATTCTTGTGTGTCGGGTTCACCTGCCAAAGGACCTTGTGGCATCAATCACATCTTCAGAGGAGGGTGGTCTGCAGGGAGCTTCACGTTGCAGGCGGAACAATAAGAAGTTTCTGCTGTGTTCTGTCAGGTTGAAACTTTCAGCGCTGAGGGGAGTCTTCTGCAAACTTCTGTTCTGTGTTCAGAAACTTTTCCTGCTTCTGTGCGTTTTTCCACAAGTGATTCATCACATCAACATCATGTGCCTTTTTCTTTCACTAACGGCAGCCTGGCAAGACATTCTGTAGATCTACTATAGTACCTGTCTACTGATTATTATCGTAAGAGATAATTAACATTTTGTGCACCTGACAAAGGTTCAGAGGGAACAAAACGCTGTGATTTTTTTCTAATAAATTGTTGATGCAGAGTAAGAGTATTGTGCAGGATGATTGTCAATGTGATAGTTTGATGTCCTATGAACCTACTTCATGAGATAGTTGGATGTGTGAATTTGTTTGTAATTTATTAAAACTGACAAGTTGGTAAAATCTCTTTTGATTGCTTTCAATATCCAATAAACGTTCTTAAGACTGCTGAGTCGTGGGAAAGTGTCGGGGTGTTCTTTTTTTTGTGTGTGTTTAAATGCGATTCTTTTTTTAATATGGTAATGTGTAAAATATCTTTGCAGCTTTCATACGTTCTCTACTAACATGTGGATCGTTGTCTGTTTCTGTGGTTGTTATTTATTGATTCTATGGTGGCCTCCACCTACTGTATATGTGTGCAGCACTGAAGTCCAAGACATTTCCCTAAAGGGACAACAGAGTGTTTCGTATTGCATTGCACCTGATCTGATCTTGTTGTACCCTATTGTATTCAATTGTATTCTATGATCAAATAATGTCTACTCTTCATTAAAGAAGTTTTAGAAATTATTGAATTACTTTTTATTCTGGGGTGCTGGGGTTGGTTTTAGAGATGATATATAGTATAGATTTATTTAACCAACATGAACATGTTCTGTTTCACGTCACAAAGAGAAATGTCAAATCAGCACATTTGAATTGCTGGACTTTGAAAATGTGCAATTTTTGAAACCATAATTTAACCTCTGAGAATGGCCTATTCTTATATGGCTTATAGGTCTTTAGGAAAAGCAAGCGTTGTCAAAATGAGCAACTGGAGACATGAGAATGAAGTTGGAGTTGAGGGACTACAAAGAAAAATCAATGAATGAAGTCAATGAAGAAAGAGGAAAAATAAATCAGTGTTGATGCAGCTCTTCAGATGATGTTGACCTATTTAATTTTTCTGTTGGCATTAACGCTTTAAATAGTTTCTAATTGATAATTAAAATGAGGAATTACACATTTACATCATGTTCTTTATAACATGTAATGCTGTACCTTTAGTTGCAAGTCCTCATCAATCTACAAATTCAAACTCTTTATCTGATGCGTATACTTCACTCCCATAACTTACATTCAAGCTTGAATTTTAACTCTGCATGCAAAAAATAATTATGAGCATATATGCTAATGCAGTAAACAAGTGTTATTCATGAATCTTTTTGTGTAAAGCCGTGCACATCTCACCTCATACGGCCCCGGTTAATAATGTTTAATGCAACCTCCTTTCATGTCTGTGCAATTCCACTTTGCATGCATTAGCACAAGTAGAGAGTGTGAGACTTATCTTGTATGATGAGCATTTGCACTGTAAAGCGGCCAGATGTTAAATCCCAAATAATGCGCCCTAGATTTAACTCTTGCATTTATCACTCTGCCAAATCTGTCACCGCTTTGTGGCTTTAAGATGTAGTCTCTCATTTCCAAAAAAGTGGGGCTGTTTATGTGCTACTACATATGACCCACGGTTTTGCTGGCTTTAGCATGTGTGAGAGCGTCTCGTGTTTCTTGTGGGAACTCCTCACAGAAAGCCGCACTGAGCGACGATTCTGGACGTTCAGTTGCTGACGATTATAAAAAGTGAAACGTGAGCGCATTCCTGAGGGCCGGGTTAGAGCTCAATGGCTCCACAGCTGAGGACTTATTGAAAGACAAGCGTTAGCAGGAAATTAGCTAACAGTCAGATCCAGAGGGTTCACAGAAACAAGCATGCACATACATAAATGCTTTCTCTGCAATCCATATTCTAATAATGATCCAATTTTTTTACATGGCCATAACATACATCCCATCATTATGTTCAGGCAATATATCACATTTGACTGCCGCTCAGAAACCTGACCTGCTCTTTGTGTGCATGTGACTCAGCTCTGCAGACTCTCGGACAGTAAAGTTGTGCAACTTTGCTGCACTCATGGATTGCGTGCCCCAGATTTGGGGAGAGAGTAGATCTGTGAGGCTGTGAGAGAGCGACAGCTGACTAACTGGTACTAGGAAGGAGGGGAGTGAGGGAGAGGAGGAAGCGGGGGGGAGGAAGTGGGGGAGGTGCTGGTGGTGGTGGGACAGTCAGTGGTCGGCCTGTTGGGATCCCTGGGGAAACTGAGCCAGAAGAGAAGGGACTACAGTTGCAGCTGTTGTTGCTCACACACACACACACAGATTATTCTTAGTCCCTCTAAATGAACCCGCTGTCGTTTTTAATCTGGAATGCTCACTGACCCGTTGGCAGAGTGTTATGTAAAGTTTGAATGTGTTCCTGTGAGATGGTGCTTAAACTGAGGGAATATTGATCAGAGCACTTTTGGCAGCAGATTAATGATGCATTACTGTGAGGAAAGTATTACGCAGAACTCTTTAGCTTTCAAAAGATGCACTTTTACAAAGGAGGCAGGTTGGTGCCTTTCATTTGTGAATTTTGGCTGCAGCCAAAACATATTTTTAACGTGTTTCTTTGAGAGAAATGGTTGAATTATGTCTTCTGAAGTGATATAAAATGAAAGACATGAAAGCACAGACCTCTGGTAAACATCTTGTCATTGCTTGTTTTGTTCAATCAAAAAAGTCAAGGTCTGTGTAAAAAATGTTCCAGTGTTCCTGCAGACGCTGCATCGTGCAATAAGGAAGTTTTTTGTTTTATTTTTGGCAGGTCCGGCTTATTTCAAGTTCATTTATTTATATACGTCTGTGACCGAGTATGTCTCGGATGACTTCACACAGAACAGAGGGGCCCTTTTGTCTCTGACTTACAATCACAGGATAAAATGATGTAATGCAATTATGATTTGACATGTTGCACTAACACGTGACATCTTCAGAACATTTGCCAAAATACAGGTTTCATGTTTACAATAATGACAGGCAACACAGATCTGGTGTTTTGCTGCTTTAATTATCTGATGATTTGTAAAAATCACGGCATGATAAGATCAGAGAGGTATTTTTTTTACAGTGTAGTGCAGGTATGTCTTAGAGAGCCACAGCAGGACTGGCTGCAGAAGGTACTACTTTCTTTTGTCGGTCAGAGCGCTCGGGGACAGACAGATGAGCTGATTGATGTGGTTGGATGTGTTTCTCATAAAAAGCATCTCAGGGATTGAGTGTCATGAGAAGCCTGTGCTAAACTAAAGGGCTGCAGAGTTCTTGTTTATTTATTGATGACACTGATGTAGTAGTTGTACAGATTTAGAATCAATTTAGTGCACAGTTGACGCACAGGCAGGCAGGGAGTGACGTGTTCATCATGCAGCAGCACTTTACTGTGGTCAGGACGCAGAGCGGAAACAAATCACTTTGAGAGCTTAAGCGTAGGGCATAAACAGGCTGATATTTTTCTTTCTATCTTTGGAATTTATTTTTTTATTTTGGATGCTGGATTATAAATGTATAAAGATTACATTTGTTTTAACAGTGCAATGTGTTTCTTATAGGGAATGTAGTAGCAATGTGTGTTGATTGTCCTCCTTACCCTGCATCCCTTTTTGATCATGAATATCTTGTTATAATATGGTGCACCAAAAAGCTTTAGAGGAATATTTCACATTTTTGGAAAAGTCACTCTTGCTGAGAGTAAAATGAGATGAGTACATCAGCACTTGCTTACACTATCAGGCTGAAAATTCAGCACTACATCATGGCACCGTCCAGAAGACGCAGTCATGTGAGAACGCCTGTATCTCAGATTAACATTTTTCTCTTTCAAAATTAAATTACAACAATGTGGTTTGATGACATATATTTTAATGTAAACAGGGACCGGCTGTGTCTCAGTTGGTAGAGGGTTGGGGGTTCGATCCCCAGCTCCTGCAGAAACATGTCTGATGTATCCACACAGCGTATGCATGTCTATGAATGGGAGTAGTTACTTCTGATGGTCACTCGACTGTTCTGTTTTCAGCCCTCTATAAAAGCCATACAGGGATGTCTGTCTGGATGGACTACAAATGTTAGCTGCTCCACACAGCAACAAAGTAACACACTCAGCTTTAATTCACAAAGTGAAGACACAGAGAAACATTTCATTCTGAAAACATCTTTAATTTACAAAGAGTCAGTGACAGTGTTACAGTTCACATGACACAGAGTCACTACTGAAGGTTCGCAGAACCCTGATGAAAAATATCAACAACAGTGCTGAAAATAACACTTGGACAACTGTAAATAGGAGGAAATAATTGTTACATCTACATACACATATTGTGTGATATGACATCTCATACTGTGCATCATGGCACGGCCACCTCAGTGGACACTGTGTGTGTGTGTGTGTGTGTGTGTGTGTTGGACCCTCTGAATATGTAGTATGTATTGACCTGAATACTGAGACAACACCATATGGATCAAATGGCCAAGACACTCAAAAGACCTAAGGCCTAATCCCTGCTGGCTGAATTGATTGGTCTGGGATCTCTTTTAAAAGTGAGTGAAATTAACAGTTTTTTAATTATAAGAAGTTGTTGTATTAGATTGTCTCTGCGTATCAGTGGTCCTCTATGAGATCAAACTCTATTGAGTTGTTGCCGGCAGTATTGTTTGTAATCCTGAGGGAATTATTATATACATTTCTGAAGGAAGCTTAAGTTTAGTTTTAAACTATCTTAATGCTGCTTGAAATGAATAATACTGACATTATACATTATGAAACAAGAGAAAAGATACCGTAAGTCTGAGATAAACTCATCAGTTTGGGGTTTTAATACAAGCATAGCATTGTCATTATGTCATGGTAAGAACTGCAATATTACTGTGACATATTTATCTGGGCGGAATAATGAAAACCATGCAATGAGATATTACAGTAAATGTGTGTTATTGCTGCTGTGACGTCAATGACAGATATGTACAATGTTCTGTACATCAATCAATCTTGATCCTGTCTGATAGAGACTACAGGTCTTTACCTCATCTGTTTCATCACTGTCACAGCCTTGTTATGTATTCACCTGTGTGTCTATATACAGTATGTAACACCATCATCATAATCCTTGCAGCTTTGGGATTAAACAAGCCAGTTTTTTGAATATTTTTTGAGTCTGAAAACCAAGCTTTACATAACGACTGGTTACCAGATGGCAGTCAGTCAGTCAGCATTGGCTGTGTCATCTTTACCTCCTCCCCAATCTGCGTAACAAGCCAGGAGGACGGGCCGTTTACTCAACATGTGCCCTATCTGCATGGCAGGGAAGAAAAACTAGTATTTCCAACAGAACAACTTGCAAAAAAATTGCTGATTTAGACTGATAAATCTCTACGTTTGATGTGCAACCTTTGAACTGGTCATGCACTGTATTGCTGTTAAGATGAGATGAGGCAAGACTTATTTGAAATGTATTGAAACCCATATAATTGAGGAAGTGTCTCATAGTTTACTCCTGTGATACATTCATTCCCTGAGAAAGGTGAATGAAACCGACAGATTTAGTTAAACCTGATTTTCTAAGGCGCCAAGGCCTGTTTGAAACAAAAGGAAGCTTATAGCTGTGTTTAGTGGCAGTGCGTTCAGTAACAGCTGCTTGTAGAATCACTTATAAAAACAGTAACCATGCAATCCAAAATGTTGGTGTTTTCATTCATAGATGCAAAGAAGTGAGATACACAAAAGTATGTCTGGTAGTTTTGAAGTGAAAAAGTCTGTGGTTGTTTTTTAAAGATCTGATGGTGATGGTGACATTCTGAGATTCATTTCAAAGTACCGTCTTAAAGACATCCAGAGAAGCAGCCATACATGCACACATAAGATGGAATTTGAATAATACAAAACTTGTAGTATAGGTCCTCAAAAATGCTTCCACCCAACTCCGTCTCAGACACTCTCCAGCACTCACTCACATACATGCACAGCAAACGAGATTTAGGTTTTTTGGATTGTCTGACAAAATGATGAACCTGATAATTTTGCTGGGGGTGCGAAGTTCATTGGTTCATTTTTGGAAGATAACTGTGTCAAAGCCTCTCGTTCATTTCATTCATCCCCCACTCCAGCACAGCCAAAATCCCCTTGCACCTGTCACTCAGTCAGCCTGGCATCACTGGCAGTCTGTTGGACCCACTGTCAGACCCACACAGCTGTGTTGTAGTCAAACAATGGCTGCATTTTCTCCAGACCAGCCTCTGGCTGTCTCCGGTCTAAATAAATCCCACCAAATGGCTGTTGGTGGACCTGGGGGAAGTGGTGTTGGTGGTGGTTCCTCTCTGTTTCAGTCAGATGCGGACACATCTTGCCTTTTCCCTGCTGTCCGTTTGCCCAGAATGGCAGGTAAAAACTGCCTTTGGAACTCTTTGGAACCAGTTTCTTTGGCCTCTTGACAATGTCACCCTCAGACAACTCAGGAGCCATCCAGCCAGGCCTTTCCTTTAGCAGCTTGTCCCTGTCAGGCCGGACGCTGCGCAAGAACTTCTTGAAGATATTTGTGGTTAACGAGAACTTCTTGCAGATCTCCTGTGAGCGACTGTTGCGAAGAGGGTGAGCTGGGGTGTCTGGTCTGTCTGCCCCTCCATCCATTGTCCTCTCCTCTCTCGTCTTCCTCCTCTCCTCCTCCTTGATGTCTTCCCTCTCCACCTCAGGCAAGTCGAGCCAGTTGCCCACAAGGTCGGCAAAGACATTGTCCCCCAGTACTAAGGGCTGACGGTTGCGGCTGCGGCTCATGAGCGAAGACGTCCAGTCACTCCCGTCATCTGTGCTATCTTGGGAGTAGTCACTGTCTAATGAAGGGCCCTCTCTGGAGAGGCTGTACAGTATTCCAGGCAGGTCCACCGCCTGAGCACGCCGGGGAGCCTGTGGTTGAGGGTACAGTTCTGGTGGAGGGTTCCCCACCATTGGTCCATAAAAATCCACCTGCGGGGCAGTGTAACCTGACCATCTTTTGGGAATAGAGTCAAGGTCATTTCTGCTTCTTGCACTTCTTTCACTTGTCTCGCTCTCACTCTCAAGGCTGGATACTGAGGAAGATGAGGTACCCATGCTGCTTCTGTTTCGTGACAAATTCCTTTCATCTCTGCTAAATGTGTTTCTGCTCTCCAAAGATGGCCTTGGACTTTGCATTGGACTCGGACTGGGTACCTCGGGCATGGATTGGCTGTGATCCTTTTCTGAGGTTAAAACTGCTGTAGCTGATGCTTGAGCTGGTGGAGCAGAATGTGGGATTCCACGGTTAATGGGCCGGCCGGAAATGTCAAGGCTTTCTAGCGCTGTCTGAACTTGAAGGAGCTTGAGTTCCTGAAGGGCTCCCATCATTGAATTCATCTGAGCATGAAGGCCATCTCCGGCTTCTTTCATAGACACCTGCAAGGAGACAGAGCAAAATGATTATGGGGATGGACTTTGATTCAAAATTTCCAGTTAAGAACTACAGCTTAAGTCCCTTGTATAGCTCATTAACCCAATCATTTCACTCATCAGGCACTTGCAAGACCTATCCATCATCCATCAAAGACACATTTCCACAATTTTGATAATCAACAATCTTTATAGCAGCAATAATCCAATCAAACCTCTAAAGCTGGGATAGTCCAAAGAATCATATACATGTATATATGAATAAAAAGCCTGGTATCATTCCTGCTTTTGTCTGACTGTGTCAGTTAGACTCTTCTCTTGTGAACCTCAAGCTGCTTTTCAAGGACCTTGACTTGTTTAATTATGCGTCATGTGACCCAGTTTTGGATGACAGACCAGGGTCCATATGGCATGCGTACGAGAAAGGATCCAACATATGACAGCTGTAAAACAGGCACACTCTCCTACTTTATCTCAGTCTCTTAGTCTTTTTATCTCAGTTTTTTTTTTACCCTCCATTCGTCCATAATCTTCTCCATCAAGCTCTTTGTCTTCATTCTTACTTCGCTTGGCACAGCAGTAATCATGCACTCAGCTTTTATCTCGCCTGCTACACTGTCTCGTTTCTGCTCTCATCTTTTTAAGAGCCTGTGTCATGTGATCTGGACCAACCACCTTCTCTCAAAGCCAGACAGGAAGCCCAGAGGCAGCAGCGTGACGTGTGTCTTAACTTGTAGGCTTAAATCCTTTCACACCTTGACCCAGACTTTTAATCATTCTTTGAATATAATGACAGGTTAAGGTTTGTCAATTCGCTCACATTTGTAAAGGTAGACACTGCTCGATGAGTCAACCTCTTTTCTTGAAAGTCAATGGGAAGACAAGAAGCAGCATGCAAGGAATTTTGGAAAACGTGCAAGTGTGTGAGAATGTTGGCCAGAAACTCTGAAAGCACACCTCCAACAGACAGCCCTGATCAACAAGCATATTATCTAGATGTGTCAGCTAAAACACAACAAGAGACAACTGTCAGTTAATAATTAATGGATTATTGAAAATAAAACAGGCCTCTTTTACAAAAACAAACAGGTATCTTTAAATGAAACAACTCCTGATAATGTAAAACGAGAACTTGCAGAACTCACAGCTCATACTTTAAAAAACAAATTTCATGAATCTCAGAAATCAAAACCTGCATCTTACCTTCTATAAACTTCCCCAAAATAGAGGTATAGATATCACTGTCTGTCTCGTTGTTACTCTGCACCTCTGCCAGCCTGTCACTGTCTCTCACCTTTCAAACTGTTCAGTCTGACGGCCTCTATATTTATCTCCCTCCAATGGGGGTTCACAGCTGGGTGTGAAAACCAATCAGCGCTTTCCGTCTAGACCATAACCCCCAAACAGAAGAGGGGGAGGGTGGGGTCACTCAAGCGGAAACAGACTGACAATGAGAGGAGCAAGAAGGGGAAACAGTGAGAGGGATGCTGAGAGTCAGCCGGATGATCAGGGATGGGAAGAGGGGAGGGAATCCCTCGACATATGTTTAGATGTCCAAGAGAAAACTGTTGATGGATTTAATTATAGATGACACCATAAGAACACATGAGGGGGGTTATAGAATGGAGAAGGGAGGGGGAGTTGTCGGAGGTACATTACACCAGGCTGTGCTACTTAATCTTGAGGGAGCAGTGATTGTTTTGTGGGAAAAGTAGCCGTGCAGGGCAACTGACAACATCATAAACAAAGCTACCTATAAGCACCGTGAGAGACGGAAAGGTTGCAGAATGTGGGATTTTTCTGGGAAACCCGACAACTGTTATGAATAAAAAACGTTCTGGTGCTACATTTACTGTAGGTTTAAAGGTGTATAGCTACATAAAATAGGCAAATATTCAGATCTCTCTAATGTATAATTCTAAGGTGAAATTTAGACTTTTATTTGGTTCTATAAAGCTAATGTCAACTCAGTCCAGATTATGTCAACAACTAACATTTGTTGTCCTCTGAGGCTTCAATGAACTGACTCTGTTGAGCTCTAGAGTTTGCCTCAAACACCGCATGGGGTTAACAGCTAGGGGTTTTTTGGTAAATTAACATAAAAACAACTATTGATCGGATTGCCATGATGTTATGTACCAACATTCATTGGATCAAGAGGATCAATACTGCGTTGGTGATCCTATTTACTTTTAATGTAGCGCTATTATTGGGTCAATTTCAAGCTTTTATTTAATCCATTACTTTAGTTAATCAACAGTACTTAAAGCCTTAGTCATACTATTAAGGGTTTATAAGCAAATGTTTAAATGTCAACACAACAAGCTAAGATGTAATTCATGGCAAAACCTAAACGTGCCTTAAGTCAGCAAGTTGGCAATGTCATTTTGAGAATGATGGCGTGCAGATGTTAGCATTAAGCTTTTGCTGTGTGAAGTACATCTCAGAGCTGCAAAAACACATGCTGTAGACTCTTACGCTGTACTCACATCTATGAACAGCAGCACTTTTGTGTAAGTACATTTTTATACTAAAATAAAAGCTTTTCTGTTTAAAAAAAAAAAAAGAAGTAAAATCAAGCACAGAAAAAAATGAAATTCAAGCAGCTCGCACCTGAAAATGTTCCACTCCTCTTTGATAAATGACTTAATTGATCTTTAGAAGTGTTGCTGATTAATATTCTATTTACTGTGCAATCAATTGAGGACTATAATGTGTAAGTACAGTCCATTTCACATGGTCTGTACCTTGACACTTATCCAATACCATGCACCATTAACATTTAACCTCTGGGCTACTCTACTCGTCTCTAACATATGGCTGAGTAGGTGCACAGGGGCGTGAATATCCTCCAAGATCAGATAATAAGCCTATCAATGCACATGCTGGGAACAAAAGCCTATGAGCCTCCCGTTGGCTCGCTGAATTAGTCAGTGAAGGTAGTAATTAGCACAATCAGGTTGTCTCTTGTCTTTTGTGCACTCCACATATGGCTGACTTCATTAGTTGTAATTCCCCTGTGTCCCAGGAGCGACTGGAAAAGAGCGCATAATTACGTTTACTTTCCTCCACATCAAAGGTCAAATAGTCTGAAGACGAGATGACGTGCAGATTTTCATATTGTTGTTACGTCTTCAGAGGCAGACATGTGGCTTTAGTAGTTTATGCAGGGATCAGCTAAAGGATTACCACACTCTGAGTTTCTGCTGAAACCTGGACCACTCACATGCATTAAATCTGTTTTTGAAATATTATCTCCAAAGCAGTCTACTCTAATTCAGTCTGAAAGCGCCACACCTGTTTGCACATGCTCACCAAAAACACCCTAATTCAACTCTCTCATGCAACTTTCCCATTATCCCCCCTGAACACACAGGCATTCCCACTGGTTATTTAAAACACACTGAGTTGTTTACTGGTATTTCTATTCTAAGGACACATAAATAATTCATATTGTGCCTTTGGGAGAAAAAACAGAGGAACAGACGTAAACTGAAGCCCATTATTCCACCTTTACCATGCCAACTTACTCTAGGCGCTACAGCACTGCCATTTCAAGCTGAACTTTGTGGCCCAAATATGTCAGCCTTTTCAGCTTTCATTCAGGATGCTTAAAGTGACTTTACAGTAATATCCTGCAGCATGTTGTAGTTCAGAAATGTTACTCATCCTGAGATGTCTTATTTTAACAATGTGTGAATCACTCTGGGCCTAGTAGGGGCAAAGAAAACACGCAGGACGCTGACCTGACACAACCGACTCAAGCACCTAAAGGTCTTACCCGTACAAAAAAAGAAAGAGGGAGAGATGGGGGAAAAAAGGTCGGTATAATCTAATTTAATAAGACAACTGGGATGAAATTTGGGCTGCAGGGAATTGCTGTACTGCCCAGAAACACTGGCATCATTAACCCAGTCTTTAGAAGTTTAGTTAAATCTTCTTTTTGAATTAAAGCCCTCCAGACTATTTCATCCATTTAATCCATCAAGCGTGCATTTCTATAAAAAGATCACTTTAAAAACTAAGCCAAGTGAAAATCTGCTGAATGAATGAAAGAAAGACCAATGGGGACTGTCCAGATTCCCCCCTCTTCGTCCCCCACTTCTTCTTCTTCTTCTGTGGCTGCAGAGATGCCAGCCAACCAGATATAATTGCCAATTAAAGACTGAATGCTTCAAAGTTTAAGAACAATGGCTGGTAGACTTGAATTAATGTTGAATAAAGGCTTGTTAAAAATTGCTAGACAACTGATGAAATCCATCTACAGTTAAAATGCATTAATTGACCATTTAGTATACATGCTAGTGAATTATATACGACAAAGAATAAATAAATCGGTGTTCCTCCCAACCTTCATGGCAGCCTTAATATTACCTCCTTCAGTTATGGAGGGAAAATAAATCAGTGTAAACCCACTACGCTCTCACATGCCCAGACATGTCTCGCTTGAATGAAGTCACTGTCTTATTTACGACGTGTACGTGTGTGTGCATGTTGTGTTCACTGACATACATTCATTGCATTATTAGGTGAGAAATAGGAAATAACGCACACAAAGGAGAAACCGAAAACAAACCTCAGCTTGATTCTGGCTCAGAATCACAGACCGTTCACTGTTGTTGTTTTATTTGTTATTGGCTGAAGGCGGAGGAAACAACCAGGCCAAGGTTATCAGGCCCGAAAGGTCTTCCTGTTTAGAAGTAGCAAGCCAGCAGCAGCAGTAGTTTATGTACTCCACCCTCCCTCCACCTCCAACCCTAATTAAAAATGAATGGTGGGCTGTGTGGGTCAGATACAGAGAGGGTCTCTGTGACTGAAACTGCTGGACACGCCACAGAGCGCTGTGGACAGCCCCGAGGTCAAAACCAAGAGGGCAATAAAGCTGTGGAGAATTCACTGAAAGAGATAAATTACTGTGCTCACAGCAATGAATGCTGCTTTGACTCAAAAGTTTATATGGCGACTCTGTTTGGCTCAAATGCCTTCAGGGTCAAGTTTAGACGAGG